ATCAAATCATTTAGCACCACGTATTCTTTTAAGTTGAATCGGTAAAACAGTATTTACTGATTTTCAATGGAAACTCTTCCACTTCGCTCTTTTGTCTTCCTTCTTTTTTTGTACTCCACTGATTTTGTCCAGTGAAAGATTCACCACAAATCGCTGTTACGTGTCTCGTAGCAGAAATACATGTACATATCGTACATGTATTTAGTCGCATGTGTATTTGGCGTAGTTCGTACGATTTAGTTGAAACCATTCAACCAAATCTTGATAATTGCTGTCAAATACTTCTTTTTTCAGCGGACTCCTCCCAGCTTCCCTCTTGCGAATCGAACGTGCACACCGGAACGTGAACTATTATCGGAAGTTGTTACATTCGGTTGCGTTATTTCCGATTCCAACTGTTCTCGAGAAGATGAGCGGCAGGCGGGTGAGAGTTGTCGGTAGTGCTCGATCGAGAAGCAAACGATCGCGAATCCGGTAAACAAAGTGCGCGGAATGTTGATTCTCTCTCGCGAGTTCTCTCTCTCTCTCTCTCTCTCTCTCTGGCGTACGCGCGCGCACGAAAGTAGCTAAACTCAACGCGCGTCGATAATCTTCACTCTCGCAACTTCCGTTTCTGGTGGTAATGTTCACGGGCCGCTTTATTAGACGGTAATATTCTCGCGTCGCCGAGCTCTAATTAGGACGAAGTTTTCAGCGCCGGAGGTTAATGCAGTTATTTGTTTGTCGATAGTCACACACCGGGCTGGGCCTCTCGCTGTTATAATTTTATAACTTGGCGCTAATGCCGCATTAACGACGCGAGGAATTATAAATTCCGGCGTCAAAGCGACCGGTGTTACTACCTAACGAGGCAACGGAGATTTCATTACACCGGGCGCGAGAAAGGCTCACCCGGCGTAATCGGATTCGCCGTAGGAATTGGAGCATAATTTTCGGAAACAGCCGCGACCGCACCTGCTTTATCAGTTCGATATTTCGCTATTTAATGGATTACATAACTCACAAAAGCTTAGCTCGCTACACAATGAATCACTTCGCCCCCCTGGTATTCCTCTCTTAGAGATCCTCTTAAATACTTAAATGCGCGATGATTCATTTGCACGCTTCGTCTCGCCAGATCGTTAAGGGCATCATTGATATTCAGAAAGATAATTCACTCATCGATAATAAGTCTTACTTTATTTCTCGTTGCCTCAGGGACGTATTGTTTATTACTAGTGTTTTCATTATCATCAGTGCCACGCCAAGGAGTCACTCATAAATCTAATATTCAGCCAGAAAAATTACGTTTCGCGCGTTTATTTCACTAGCTAAATAATAAGTATTAATTTGAAACGAAGTTGAGGTAAATATATACGTACAATATTACAAATACATTAGTAACATTAGTCGATTTAATCGAGATGCACCTCTGGCGTCGCTTTTAGACGCAACGTAGATTGCAATTTGTAATTTCTTCGTAATTGCTTCTCTAATTATTTAAAGTTACGGGCAATACATCCTCGAAGAAGACTCGCGCAAGAAACCCGTTCACGCTGAAACCGCGTCTTTCGCGGAGATTCATTGCGCTGAGATCCACTCGCTGATCGACCTCGCGAGAGGGCATCGCCGCGGTCATCGGCTGAGACGTTATATATCGGCGTCAAATAAGCAGCAGTTAGCATTATGAGAATCGCTTCTTCGACTTGTGTAAAGCGCTCGCGTCGGGAGGTCACACACACACACACACACACGAGGCGTTTGAAGTCTCCGTAGACTCCGGGGCCAAACGCGCCATCCCACCATGAATTCATTCGCGCCCTCATGAAATTCAAAGCAGTCGTTACGCTCCTGGCACAACGACAACGAGTGCGACGGCGAAGAGGACGAAGAGAACGGGATGGCGCGGATGGTATACAGTACGTGCACGGATGGTGGTGCGCCTACGTACCCATCCGCGTCTACTCATCTACCTACCTACCTTCCTACCGACCTACCTACGCCTCTCTCCGCGCGGTGTTCGATGTTTTATTTATAATTTGTTTATCTCATCATCTGCTCGGACTTGCCGACTTGTGTGTATGTAACGACGGTGTCTACACGATGCCACCGCGCCATGCCAGTGACTCTCAAAGCATCTTCGTCGGAAACATGAATAGGCAAGCGCGTCCTCGTATGCTCCTGCCGAACTCTTTTTCCGCGGACGTCGCAGTCGGTGCGAATAAGGAAAATAAATTTCGCGAAACGCCAGCGGGCGGACGGACGGGCGAGCGAGTTTCTCGCAGGGCAAAAACCGGAAGTCGCCGTGCACACGCGGCCTCAAAGTGCGCTCGACGTAATACACTCCGAAGGAGCCGAGGCGGTTGTGTTGTGTGTCGCAAAAATTGGAGGAAAGCGGAACACGAGCGCCCGCAAGCGTCTCTCGCGACGATCCACACTCCATTTTCTTACCGGCGGAAACGCGTAAAAGAGAGCCACATGTCGTAGTGTCCCGAAGCTTAAGGTCTAATTTCTTTTTATGATTGCGCTTCAGGGCGCATCGAATCCTCGCTGCGATAAAGCTCGCCTCCGATCCGACGGAAGGAATAATGTTCCATTACTTCTTCGCGGCTCCGAAGCCCGAGACCATTTATTTTCAACGGTTTACACCGCTCGAAAACCATTAGTGCTTCGACACTTTCGCGTCGAGAAAAATCGACTCCGAATTACGCGAGAAATAATGCCGCGCGTCCGTGTTTTCGCCTCTTCCGCCCACCCTACTAAATCTGCGAAAATCCCTGTGCATATCTTTCACACACGCACACACATTTGTATATATGGAAAAAAAGGGGAAAAATAGGAAAATCAGACGCAGCAAAACAGGCGCATATTTTCGCCGTCGTTTCATAACGTTTGACGAGTCTCCGGCGAAAAACTAGAATCTAATTATGCGCGGGCTAACTTTTGTTTCTGATTACAATTAATACCGGCGGGCGGCGTGAAATTACGGGCCGGAAATTGCCGGCCGTCGAGAGGCGCGTTTGCATTCATCAGCGGTGCGAATAATGGAGATGACATTTCGATCTTTTTCTCGCGCGCTCGCGACGCGGCAAACAGCGGCAATTGACGGCAGATAGAACGCACGGGGACATACGCTGCTCCATTCGGCGCAACGTTACATAAATTCGCATGACATCCGAATGGATATGGAATCAGGGAAGCGGTTCGAGGACCACTCGGACGCACTGCTACGCCTCGATTCGGTTAATCCTTCCGCCGGCGTGTCACGGTCGCGTCGATGAAAACAACTCTCGAGCTTTCGCAACTTGGCCGATTGGGCGCAAATTAACGACCGATGTAATTGTATTCAATTGTCGAGTGGACTTCACTGCGCGCGCCGCACGCGCGTATTAATCACTCGAATCCCGAATGTGAACGCGCGTTTCAAACGGCTCGAGAGGAAGAGAGAGAGAGAGAGAAATACAGATTTTCGTAAGAAGTGAAGCCGATAATAAGGTGCTAACCGAAGCATAACCGCGGTTGCGCCGCATCTCGGGCGGTACCGTTCGACACGAAGGCGCTGTGCTTCCTCGGAAGCGCTCGACTGACCTAGTCTGACATTCTCTCGTTAAGAGTGTCAGCGCGCTATTCACCGTGACGTAACGGAATTCAAGGCCGATCCTTATTATAATTCCAGGCCACTCGGTATGCAGAAATCATAAATTACTCCGTTGGACTTCGCAGCCACCAAAGAACGTCAGGTATTTTTAAACGTGCAAATCTCCTTTCTCTTTTCTTCTCTTTTTCTCGCCGAATGTAATTAAATGTGTCATAAATGCAAACCAAGTGGATAACCATATGCATCTATATTTACAAGTTATGCTATCTAAAATGACACTCCATAATCTTTATTTCTTGCATCACAGGTCGTCATGCAAGCTAATAGACCTCTCCTTGCGATGTGACGTAATTGTTGAACGGTTCTTCACGAGATGATAAAAGATTGTGAAGTATTATCGCCGATAACGTTTCGCATTCTCAAATCAACGGAGTCGCTATTTGCGAAAGCGCTATTGCAATTTACGTTCAAGAAGAATTATCCAAATCCCGTTTAACAACGTTCCCCGGTGGGGCGGGCGCGCGGGTAAACGCATTAACACGACTTAATAGACAGTATTTTTCGTTATTCGAACACGTCGATTGTTCGTATATCCCCGCGGCTCAATTATCAACGGATCGAAACTTTTTTCCCCCGGTTCGAGGGCGTTCATCGGGCGTTCGGGTTTAATGCACTCCCGAGGCCGGGGCGCATTCGATCTCGAAAAGTTCAGACGGATGAATAGCTACTGAGGTCAAGCGAGGGGTCGCGAAATCGCTCTCTCGTGTAAGCACGCGAGTCTAAAGGAGGTCGAGTGCGGCTCTCCAGGCTTCCAGCTTCTGCGACTCCTCGCGGAGCCCGAGCCGGTACCGTTCCATTTCGCCGTCGTTTCAACGAGACGTATTTCTTCGTTTCATTCTTCTTTTCATCTTAATAATTGAGACGTAAGATATCGCAAGTGGACCCTTACCGAGTCCGTACCGCGACCCTAATTTCACTCGCACACTTCTGCTGGCGAGTTTAGGCAATCATCCTCGATCGCTTCGTTTTCACAAGATTTCTGGCGCCCGGTCGCCGGAAATTGGCTGGTTCGAATAACGCCTCGTCGTTTCAGGCTGCTATCTGCAGCGGGGAAACTTGAAAACCCGAATTTCAAGCGTCGGAACTAATCGGTAAACGTTAAGCGGCGTCGCGCGGCATAAAAGCGCGACTTCAACTGTATGGCTAAGTACGCGCAATCAGGATGTTTTACGAGATACTTGAAATCGCCTCGACTCGCAGACGATTCCCAGTGGATAATTTACATACAGTGAATTACCTTAATTGTCACAGCAACTCTTGTTCCGTAAACCGTCTTATCCTTATTGTTTCGACTGATATCCGAAGCCGGTTTAGAGCGAACTGGTTTAGGGTGATGGATAAATCAACGACGACGAAACGGGGCTGCGTGTGCACGCGAATACGTCTTTATTAAATACTTCACGAAGTCGTCATATCTCTGAAAATTCTTTCTTCGGAACAAAGTTTAATCGTATTCCTTATTTTCGTTGTTGTATAAAAATGACAGGCGCGTGGTCGCAATGATGCTTCCGCTCGATCGCTTAAAACATGCCGTAATCCTTTTTGATGAATTCGGCGGCTCTTTCGCCGATCATATGAATCGTAGCAACGGGATTGCCGGATATGACCTACGTGATACAAATGAGGCACTCGTTAATTATCATCGTCGAACTAATCGCTCGCGTCAAGGACGCATTGCCTGTTGCTTTGGAGTATTCGTGGAGAAAATGATTTAGCGCGATGTTAAACGATTTTTCATATAGACGCGTGTTGAAAAGATGCACAAAAGAATATTACTTGTACTGCGAAGGAAAGCAATTATTCAGTTTATTTTTTTTTTCTTAATGGTTGTCTTGAACAAAGAATATTTTCTTGACATAGTATTAAAATAAGTTCGTCGCACAAATATTAGAAAAGTTTACTATCATTCATTCCGAAGAAGAATTTGTCTTCTTTTCAAGAATGTTATCAACTTTATCGAAGAAAAATTAAATTCGATTAATTGGAATGAATAAACCGAAACTTTAATTTTGGTATTCTAATTTAGCATTTTTGAATGGACTGTTATACTTATTAGGATTGAGAATATATTTTGAATAAATTTTATGTACTCATGATTGAACTTATGACATACTTACGGATATATACTTGCTTCAAGTATTTATAAGTTTATATATCCGTAAGTATTTATTATAAGCATTTAATTAATTAAATTAAATATATTAAATATATTCTCATTTCTAGTAAATTTAATACTTCAATCAAGAATATTACATTAAAATGCTAAAATTCAAACTTCGGTTTATTTATATTCCACTTCAGACAGCATAATGTTTAAAATCGGATCATAAGACGTCTTATGACCCGATTTTAAACGTCATACTCTTTGGGAATTAAACGAATTGAACTTTTTTCTCGATAAAATGTATAATATTCTCGAAAAGAGAATACGTTCTTTTCTTGTGTAAATGATAAGCTTATTTAATATTTGTGATGAGTATATTTCAATTTTATTATCAAGAGGAAATATTCTTCGTTCAAGATAAGCATTACTTAAAAGAAGAAAAATAAACTGAGTAATTCTTCGCAATATAAGTAATATTTTTCTGAGTGCAGGAGCCGCATGAAATTTCGATACCTTCGGAGACAAATTAGCAGAAAAGAATTACCTGCGGCATAATGGATGCGTCGGCCACTCTCAGTCCTTCCACGTCGTAAACCTTGAGATTCGGATCAACGACGGCCATGCTGTTGTCGTACGAGCCCATCCTGCACGTACCAGCCTGATGGTTTTCGGGCCTAGTCTTGTAGCGAATTTGGCAGTCCCAATATTTTTCATTCAGTATCCCTCCATCGATCGGCTTACCGAACTTTTTACACTGTTGGGCAGAATCTTCGATCAACTTCAATTCATACTTTTGCAACGTTTTCGCATTCGTTAGCTTTATGATCTTCTGAAGACCTTGGTAGATAATATTTCGGTCCCGGGATTTCGATAGTTCGTTACTCCATATGTTCGGAGGCTGCATAGGATCCCTCGAGTCGAGCGTGAGGCGGCCTGAAATTTATCAAAATTACACGTCTCGCCACGATGTCACGTTTTCGTGCGATCGGAATTCGCCGTAGAGAAGAGATTTCGCGTTTCGCTTTCTCCGTGCTCTGTGCATTTTTTGTTTTCTTTTCACTCGTTCAGCCATAGCGCGGTTGTAATCGTGAATTTTCGTTAGTGATATCGTAGATAAGATGAACGAAGATTACGGGGTACCTAAAGAGAGAAGGACAAGGAGGAAGTAGCGAGTTTTCTACCGCGTTTTACTCAAGATATCGTGAAATAGTTGCTTCCATTTCGCTAACGATCGTTTACCGCGTTGGAATATCGTTAACGAGGGCACTCGGCTGTTTTTTTTTTTTTTTTACTCCATCGGAATACGGGGAGTGCACGGCACAGTATTTCACTGTACGCTGTACGCGTCACACACGCGGCTTGTGCGATCACACGCGTTTACCTCTGCTAGTTGTCTGAAGATTTACGGATGTGAACCGGATGGTCTTATTTTTACTGTGCGTCTGCAAGTCCGGTATTCTGCCGCCGGTGTCGCAGGTGGCTTGATAGCCGGCGAAGAAGATCTGGATGTCCGGATCGTCTTCGGTGGTGTAGGTAGAAGTCAGTATCGCAGTAAGTTGAGCCAGACCCGTAGACGAAAGCGGCCCGGTTTGATTCAAGATGTACAAATTGGCGTTAACCAGGGTCAGTTCTTCCTCAGCCGTTTGATTCAGAGTAAAGTCCACGCCGAAGGACGCGTGATTGTGAAGGTTCTCGCCGACGCCCGGTAGATTGACGACCGTGCGAATGCCCATCGCGTCTAAGTGCCTCTTCGGCCCGATGCCCGATAGCAGCAGAAGCTGGGGCGAATTTACGGCGCCGGCGGTGAGAATCACTTCCTTCCTCGCGTTCACCGTGTACGTACGACCGTTCTACGAGCAGGACGTTAATTGTCGATTAAAAGTCTCTGTCGCACAGTTGGACACGTAGATAAACAATTAGATACACTGAGAAACTCCAGTTTGGTTGCATCAGTCGAGACGCGGCCGATCGAGCGCGCGATTTGGTTGGAGAGAGGCAAATTTTTGATTACCAAACTTGATTCTTATAATCGGAAATTTGGTTCCCCTCAACTGAATCGCGTTTAATTGCCTGTTTTCCGATGCGACCGAACTGGTTTCTCAATGTAGCTAGATAAATGGATGAATAAATATTAGACGGATAAATTATTCATTGGTAAATAGGCGCAATCGCCGAATCGCGGGTGCAGCAAGAACTCAAGGAAAACGGGAAGGCAATCGGCTCACCATGACGACCGTGATCCCGCTGGCCCTCACTTGCTTCCCGACGTTCCTCGTATGGATTTTTGTCGCGGTTGCGTTCAGAGCTACGTGTAGATTTTTACGGTCCCGGGCCGGCCACAAGTAAGCCCTGGACGAGCTGAGCCTGACGCCCTTCTTGCTGATCGTTTGAGCTACGGTGAAACCCACGATCTTCTCGCCGACTACGTCGTTGGTGGTGCCTAACTCTGTCTCTTCCGCCGCGTCGAGGATGTCCTTGGCGAATTGTGGCTGCCAGGGGAATCTATTAATGAAAGTAATCAGCGGAGTTGAACGCGCGCGTTCGGACCTATTAAAGCGGCGAGAAGGCCGCGGGGATTACGTTAAAGGCGCTCTGCTCCTCGTTCGTATAGCGAAAACGTATAGTTTCTATTTAGCCGATGTCGTCGCATCAATTCCGCTGTAATCGCTGACGCGCGAGTAAACGGCCGACACCGGGATACTTCTCGACGATGAGTCTGATAATTCCCGCGTGCTGGCCGCTTGCACGAATTGCTTACGTCCCGAATGATTCTGAATCTCCCCGACGTGTTGCACGCTGAACACTCATACGAAGTAGAGTCCCTCAAATAAGAGTTTCTCTCTGAGTTTCTGATCGAAAAAGGCGGTCTGGTTTGTCACTAGAAGTGACTTATATATGAAAAGTATCTACTCAATAACCTCCACAAGAAACTTCCGTTAGCGCAATGTTATTTTCTGCAAATGATTATTTAAAAAAAATACTGTAATGTGCAGTTTTTTTTTTTTTTCGAATAAAGATTTGTTCCACACTGCAAATACAAGTGGGTTATTTTTACACGCATAAACGTCTAAAAATGACACATTTGACTGAGGCTCTTTTTACATGCTTCTCGCTTTAGGTTATGTCATTTGAAACGTTTAATTTCGTATTAAATTATAAATTAACACGTTCAATTGTACTAAGTGATTTAGACGTGATTTGGAGCGGCAAAAAGTGTGTAAGAAGAGTCTCGGCTAAAATAACATACTTGAATTTGCAGATATAGTCCCTTAATTGATAATTCTCAATTACGCCATTTTCGATTACATAAGAAACTAGATAAAACAGAAGCAAGTCGGAAGTCGTCCAGACTCTTTGTTTAAAGGACTCCGGTAAGAAGGATGCTGTGAAAACGATAACGGATATTATAGGAAATGAATATCACGATAATCGCACACCTTTCGACCGTCAACGGGCCTCCGTAGCCATGATAGAACTTGTCGACGAACTTGTCGATGTCTTCGTTGTTTTCCGATTTCTTGAAGTACGGCAATACCTAGCGAACGGAGGAATTAATATTAGAGATATCTTGGCACAGTGCTTCGCGTAGGACAGGCAATGATTCCGTAAGTTGAGCGTGAGAGATCGTACTTCCTGCCACGACCATCCCTCGGCTCCCATTTTCACCCATCTCGTGTAATCCTTCTCGTGGCCGCGATGGTAAGCCATACCGTGATGAGAAGTGCATCCGCCGAGATTCTTGCCCCTCGGCCAGCTACACCTGCCGCCGTTTTCCAAACAAGCATACTTCTCGTTCTTGGTCTTGTACTTCCAATCTAAATCCGTGTCTGTAACACGGGGGCACAAAAGGAAATGATTAATCATCGTGCTCGCGGACCCCGACAGTCGCAAGAGCGCGAGAAACGAGAACATTACTGAGATAGAGCTGAAGATTGCTCGGTATTTGCATGCCGGGTGGCTCGTCCGGTCCAGCTTCTACGAGGAGCACTGACCATTTCTTGATTTCGCTCAGTCGGGCGGCCACGATCGGTCCGGCTGCTCCAGCTAAATCGACATCCAAAACAGAAGGTGGTTAAGTGTTCTTTTCTTTTTTAACGTTGACGTTTGATTTCTGGATTGGTCGCGAAGATCAACTCGCTCGTCGCCAAGGTACAATTTTATACTTGCTGACTGTAACGTGACGAAATATCTCAGCAAACACTAACTAAAAGTAAGATAACGTCAATGTTATAATTTCTCACTCAACAATGTAATTGTCACATAACACGGGCGTTATATTACATTTGCATTGTTGAGTGAGAAATTATAATATTGATATTATATATTTCTGATTGATTGATATTTGGGATGTCTCCTTTAGTTTATCAATCGATATATCATACCGATGTCATAATAGTACTAATTAAGCTGAAAGATTAATTAATTTTATTAGAAATTAGTAAAACTTCTTTTTGGTTTTTGGAGAATCTTTATACAGAAAGAAGTGTTAGATTTAATTAAGTAATTGCTCCAATATTTTCTTTAGCAGATTTTTGAATTGAATAAATTTTACTTGGATCAGTAAATATTTTTTTTACTCGGATAATTTATTTGGAAAATATTTTACTCGGATCAAGTAAATATTAATTGGTCCAAATAATAATATGCTAAGGAATATTGGAGTAATTATTTACTTGAATCTAGCATTCTCTCTTTCTTTCCCTTCTGTATAAGAAAGAATAGAAGTCATGAAATATCAATTCTTATAAATAGTTGAAAGAGAAATTTGAAGTAAAATTGAATCTAAAAGGACATCGAGGATTAATTGCCGGGCAGACAAAAGGGTGTTCTCGTTGGTGTGCTTCGTTGTTGTTAATCGTTTACTCTCGGGTTCACATTTACCCCGGATTTACCTCCGACGACGATGAAGTCGTAAGTGACGCTCGGTCTCGAAATAGGCTTCACGTGGTTGCACGGGTCGTTGATAGCCGGACTGTAAGCAGCCATCGTGTTCAGCGCAGCGAGGAGATAAGTCACGGGACTCGTAGTGCAGACATCGGCCATCGAGAGTCCGCCTATGAACGGGTTCGGACACGCGGTCGGCATCTCGTAAAGTGACAAATTCTGCAATAACGCACCGATATACAATTTGCACGCGACTGCAAACATTGCCGTGAATTTCCGAACGGAGCTTCGTACATCGTGCGTAACCATTGTGCATAATTGCGAACAGCGATGCTCCATTATATCATAATGAATATCACGGCTAATGTTAGCGTATCTCGCTAGAAGAGAAGGTGAAATTATGGTCCCCTATTTACATTTTGTACAACAACTTTGTTAATAATCGATCATTTAAATTGAAAACTTAACGATTACACTCAAAGTGTTGTCCAATCGATTCTAGACTCAAAGTTATGTGAAATATTTCTTACTTAGGACGTTATTTATAAAAATGTGGCTACACTGCGTAGTGGATCGAAGAGAAATAGGGATCGTAATGTGGTCCTCCTTTAAAATAAATTTAAAAAATTGGTTTTGTTTGAAAAACACAGTTATTTGTTACAAATTTATATATTCAAAATAAATTCTCTCAAAAGGAATAACAATGAATATAACTATGAATTTTTAATGAAGATTTAATTTAAGTGTTGAAATAGAGATAATGTCTAACGTAGATAATTCTTCGTCAGAAGATAAATACAAACTGTCAAAATAACAAATTCTACAAGACGAACAGATACTTTTAAACTTAACTTGAATTATTGACTTATCGATATTTTACTCGGATTAATTTTAAATATTATTTGGCCCGAATAAAAATTTGCTTCGACATGGAAACATTAAATGCTGAAGTATCTTGAAAACGTTCCGAAACGTTTGTAAAGAAAAATGCATTATAATAAATGCCGACTATTGTCTATTAGCACCACTGCGTATTATAGTGGGCTACGTAAACAAATGATCTCATTTAATGATTCTAGTAATAGCCAGAATTCGTTACCTGATAGCGGAGATATTAAGGAGCCAGAATACCACTTTCTCTTCTGTTATCCGCGTTAACGGATTAAATATCGCGGCAAATGATCGAACGTTCGTTGCGAGCGAAAGAGACGTAAACAATCGACGCTCTTGCGCGATGTCGACGCTGCGAGATCACTGACGTACGTGAAAGAAAAAAATATACGAGAAAAAAATCCGAAAATCGATTTTCTTACGTTGACCGTGGAATCCTCGCACTACTTTGCGATACACGCGAGATACGATGTGCATTCGTCGCGGATGTCAACGTACCATTTTTTCTACAGTCGCGTCTGGCCTGCCTTCGGAAGAAACTGTCCTGTGGAATAAAACTGTCCGTTTTCCTCGTTTGCTTCACGTTTTCCCGATTGCGACACTCTCTCTGCCGTTACTTTATTATATACTCGCTTCATAATAACATGCACATACACGTTCTTTGAAACGTCTAGCCGTGATTAAGTGTTGAAGTAGCAACTAACCGATAATCGCGACACTTGTTATAGCCTCGCGCTTGTCACACTTGTAAATCACCGGGACGCGCTATCAACGCAGGGGAATTGATAAATAGCGTGTCAGTAAAATAGTACAAAATAAAACAGACTGCCGAGCTGCCACGAATTGCACTCTTCGGTTTTTCCTTTTTTATATATTTTTATATATATATANTTTTTTTTTTTTTTTTTTTTTTAATAGTCCTCTATTTCTGGACGTTCGAAGGGAGGATTTGCATAGCGAGTGTAAAGTTTGATCGATGTTCACTTATCGATATAATCGTCGCTTTTATTGAATTACGACGCGCAAGTTAATTAAACGGAATGAATGCAATATCCGTTTCGAGTTGAGGCTTACAAACGAATATCTGCTTTCTTTTCACGGCTCGCAATTATTTCGCAATTATGAAACAACATGGAAAATCGTTGAATCGTGAATTCCTCTCTTTCTCTCTCTCTCTCTCCCTCTCTCTCTCTCTGATTTCCCTTATAATATAGAAATTATAATAAATTCGTCGATTCGAAAACGCGAAGGGACGAGTACGCAGTGGAAACCGCTGGTTGCACTTTATTCCGTTCGCGGCCACCGTCGCGCGATTTCCTCTACACTCGCACGGTAATGACAGCGTGTCTTGTCACGCGCTTATCTGCAGCGCGCCGTTCGCAACTCGGCTTCGTGGAGGAGCAGGTCGTCGGAGAGCGGATGTGTGAGCGATGTTCTAAATCTGGTGTCTGCTATTATGCAATCTCGTTTATTTACAGTATTTTGATTTACATTCGCGCATCCCGCGAGCAAGCAAACGGCCGAAAGAGCTATCCATATTTATAATCCGTTTCGTTCCCTATGTATTCCTACGTAGGGGCGATCGACCGCCGCGTTTCCGGCGTGTACGATCGTTAGCCAGGTACCGGGAATTTGTCTTTGGTCATCGCATTCGATAGGACGTTCTCACGCGAATAGTACGTATTATTGCTAAAGCTAAGGAAGTACTTGAGAATCTCTCTCGATGCCGACGAGGGATCCTCGCGACACGACGTGTACACGTAGTTGGCAAGCTCTTCGTAAATCTAAACGCGACGCGTACTTACGCGTAGTCGAACGACGGCGAATCGGAACACATTCGAGTTCGTAATCGTAAAGCTCACTGAGAATGAACGGTAGTACATGGTAACGTAATACTCTTAAATTGTACGGAGATTCATGTGTTCGCGGCCAAACGATCGCGACTATTACGTATCTCGCCGAAAGTCGCGCGACGCGCTGGGAAATGCGCGCGGAAATCTCGGAAATTATTAACTAACTGAAATAAGTGAAGCATGGCGGTACGACGACGACGACAATTCCTGTTCGATCGCGCGACTCTCTCTCTCTCTCTCTTTCTCTTTCTCTCTTGCTCGCTTGCTACGTCAATGAAAACAATTGCACGTTGCAGCGTTGTAATTAGTCGGGTCCGATGCGGCGATCGAGCGAGATGGCGACGCCGTGGAGAAAGGAAATTGCACCCTGCGTGTCTCTTCCGGAGGGTCCTTCGCCTTCGGTCGCGTTCACGCCGACTTTCTTAGGCACCTTGCGGATCAGTTGGGGGAAGAGGAAACGCGACAAATCGTACGAGACTAGATCGATCGCGGACATCTCGGCTACCATATAGCCTGGTCCCAATCGATGTACTTGATTCCCCAGAGCAGCAGGTCCAGCGAGTTGTCGATCGTCGGCCGGGAACTAGGAAACATGGTAAATTGCTGGTGACTAATGAGGCTTCCATTGGCTGTTTTTCCATAAGGGGGAAGGTGCTTTCCCGTACCATTGTGTCGGATTGACGCCCCAGTCGGACTTGATGAACGCGGCCGCCCTTTCGCCGATCATCATGGCCGGCGCCGCCGTGTTGCTCGACGTTACCTTGAAGAGAACAATCGTACGCTTTGCGCTCACTCGCTCTCTGTCTCTCTGCTTATTTCTTTCGTTTCTCCCGCGGATGGCGGGAAGAAATACGTGGAAGAAATTGCGAACGAGCTCTTACTGACTATTCGGCTTCGCGCGAAATATCGACCGGATATTCGATACATGCATATACCGAGGTAAAATCATAGAGGAGCAAAATCAGATGGAATTTATTAGGTGCTTGCAAAAGTCCGTGAGGTCACAAGTAGACGATTCTAGCAGCGACTTAGTAATTGTTTTATTATATCTGACGCATGGTTCCGAAATGTCGAGGAAGTGCGAAAATAGGCCGGTGAATGGGTTATCTCAAAAGATGAGTTATTTTATCGGCGCGGGGTCAAACTATTGCCCGAAAGATAGCGAGAAATTATTGATAGCAACGGCCAGTACTTTGATTAAAATACTATATATATATATCATCTCATTGTCACTGATAACTAAAAGTAGCTTTAATATCATACGAACTTTTGCAAGTATCTATATAATAGATAAAATCAAGGAAGAGTGAGTCATAGAGAAATAAGATAAACGTAGACGGAACAAACTATCAGATTAATATTATCGGGTCTAATCTTGTTAATTCATCGTTGCGTAATAGGAAATTCCAATCAGCGATAAACGTATAACGACGAAAACACATGCGCATAATAATAGCGCTTAATAATATCTCAGAATAGAATTCTCGGCAAGAAGAAAACAGCAAATTCAAGTCTCTCTCTTTCTCTCTCTCTCTCGCGCGATCCTCTCAATAATTGCCCGCTGAGACCCGCCGGCCGTTCGTTCGATCGGAAAACACGATTCGCAATCGAGATGGCAGACGCATCGACGTCTCGGCATTGGCGGTGCTTCTGCGAAGACGATGCTTACCTGCGGCATGATGGACGCGTCGGCCACGCGGAGGTTTCGCGTGCCGTGTACTCTCAATTGATCGTCGACCACGGCCATGGGGTCGGTCGCCGGCCCCATCTTGCAAGACCCTGCCTGATGGTTTTCCGGGCCGGTGTCCTGGCGCACCGCGCAGGACCAGTAATCCTTGCTCACGAACGGAAATCGGGAGCACGCTTGCAGCGGCCTGTTGCTCAGAGTCATGTTGTACTTGGCCATGGCGGTGGTATTGGCGAGAGACAGCGCGACCTCGATGCCTTCCACGAGGATCGCCACGTCCATGGGATCGCTCAAGTAATTGGCCCATATGATCGGCTTCTCCAAGGGATTGTTGCTAGCCAGACGGAGGGAACCTGCAGCCAGGTGTTCGTGGTCGGAGAAAAAAAAATCGAAAGAGAGCCGAGGGGGGGGGTAGATAATAATAAATGAAAAACGCAGTATTAAACGCATCGAAATTCATTGGAATCGGAACGCGACCGCTGACGTCAACCGGGACATTAATTAATCAATTTGCAGAAATTTCCTCGTAATAACTCGATCGACGGTGAAGGTGAGCGTGGAGGGGGGAAGGGGCATATCATTCTCGCGTTAAATTACGTATGGAATTTTGAGCGGCGCGGCGCGTAATCGATAATAAATTCATCGCAATTAACCATCTAATTAGCATTTTTCCGGCCAGGGAAGGATGGAGGGAGGAAGGGGAGGGAAAGGGGGCGAATAGTTCGGGCTAATTACGCCGCTTACCCTTGCTGCGCGGCTGTATATTCGTCGGCGACATGCTGATGCTGCGACCGTCCCCGTTCATGGTGGCTCCCACCTCGCCGGTGGTGGCGCAGGCCGCCTGATAGCCGCCGAAGAACACCTGAATATCGGGGTGATCCGGAGTCGTGTAGATCGACGGCAGTATTCCGGTCAATTGCGCCAAACCCGTCGACGACATCGGTCCTTTCTGAAAGGCAATATATTCCGTGGCAGCCGCCCAGTTCAGGTCGTACACGTTCGGCTGATTGATGGTCCACGATAAAGTGTACGACACGTGATTATGCAGGTTCTCCCCGACACCTGGAACGAAGTAGGTGGACGTTCGATTATCGATCCTTTCCTCGCGTCGTAATCCGACCGGGAAACGTCGGCCCGCCGTTTCGCCGATTGGCGTCTTATGCCGCGCGGGACCGTAAACTTTACGCTTTCCATCAAAGTTTTCATCGGCCGTTGCTGCCTTGCACTGTTCTCTCTCTCTCTCTCTAACACGGGTCTTTAATTTAACGCGTAAGCGTGGGAATTAATATCGGCCGCCCATTAAAAACGAGGTGCTCCGGCGAACTCGAGGGGTGTATTTCTTTTCTTCCGGGCGAGATCGATCCCTTCTCCGCGCAATAAAGATTCAATTAACACGTTGAACGCCGCGACGGTGACCGGCGCTGTGATACTGACTGCATCTCGTTAAATTACGTGTGGAGTATAATTAATCACATTTGAGAAGTCAATCGTACGGCCGATAGAAGGCCGAACGTAACAAGTGACGGGAAATTGTGGCCCTCTGGAGTTATACTTTATTTATCGTGTCTTTGGTAATTCAATCGTCAGTTCAAACTTTTGCGCAACAGAAATCAACGCGGCAATCAACCTGTTAATTCTCCCGTTAACTCCCGACAACTTCCCGAGGCGAAATTTTGGTTCCGCATTAACCCTGCAAATTCTATCGAACTTGGAGGACCTTACACAGGCTACTGTTCTATTCTGATGCCGCAAATAGTTGCTTAATGTCGTTTGCTGAATTATCCTTAAAATAGGACTCACAATTCGGATTAATTACTTATTTAATATTTGATTATATCTCAATGTTCTACCTGTATTTAATTTGATTTAACTGCAGGTGGAATATGCACGCAATATAAATGAATATTAAATAATTTAAACTTTAACGAACCAATCTCTCTAGTTAATGAATAAGTAAGACAGCGAATTTTGCTTCTTCGTAGTCTTTTCATTTTTCACTTCATTCATCGGCATTGGAAATGTATTGTATAATACATATATTAAATATACAATCTGCGGTATTTGAAAACATAAAATATATCGTTATTCATATCCTAATGTCCTCCGTATTGGTTTCCCGATGCAATATTTTCCTCCTCCAGCATCAACAAGGCGCTTCGGATTAGCTCGTAGCACCGACATTCGTGTAGATTCGATTTCATCGGCAAAATACATGTTAATTAAAGCGGTGTCGTCGAGTGTTCGATTAAATATTTCAAGAGCCGAAATATTTTGAAATATTTTGCGTTAAATATAACGTGACATTCAATCAAGGACAAACACGCGACGCGCGATAGTACAAAACAATAACAAAAAAGGGTCACCGTCCCATCCGCGTCAATCGCTTACCGTCGCCGCCCCACCACCGAAACACCGAATGATGACAACAATCACACTTTCAAAACATCGCGGACCTTTAAGGCGATCGAACGTACCTTCGTGCGTCGCCCGCTTTTCCCAATATTTTCATTTAGTTCCGAGCCGGCGAGCGACACACATATCACGGGCGGATTACGTCGGTACGGTATTAACATTCCTCTCGGGTAGAGTGAAATATTTCATCGGCTCTTGATATACTCTCGTCGACATCGCGTTATTTAACACGTGTGTCTTCAATCGAATCGCATTTACGTCGGTGCCGGTGCAACGAAGCAGCCAGCAAATCGGGAAGCCAGGGTGCAGGACACTGCAGGGACGTGGGTTGCGATACATCGTATATTTCAAGGTGTGTCAATCATTTGTTACATAGGAAGTTCTTAACGAACATTTGAACGAGTTTACCGACGAAGTTACCGGTGATAAAGAGATACTCGAGTCGAAATTTAGGCCGGCATTCAGAGTCATCATTTGACAAGCAATTATAGCTTTATGATTCTTTAATTTTTTTTTTCGTCAATCTATTTCCATATTTATTACATTTCATACAAGAAATATTGATCTAATTAGCCGAACAACGGTCTATGAATACGAATCTGTAATTATGTTCTCAATCAAAGGTCCGAAATAATTCACGATTATGAACACCGGCTTCATTAGAATATAATATAAATCTTGTAAATGTTGATTAATAATGCTTCTTGGATCGCGATTGTTTACATTTACCAATGCTTCGTTTTTGTTTAGTCTTGTTATTGTACGGAATCCAGATCTTTAAATATTTTTTTCTTGTAAACACACATAGCATTATTGGGTGCATAATTATTATCTTTGTCTTTACAGTTTCTTGCTTATCAGCTCTTTAAAAACTCCAGCGAGATTACTACGAAAGAAAAAAGAAATTATTAGCATATATATTCTTTTTACCTATTTACCTATTAATTTTTCTTTTTCTTTTTCTATCTTTTCTTAAATCGTTTAATATTTACTTATTTTACATACTTGCTATTAAATAAATTAAACAATTAATACTGACACTGAAATTAAGAATAGAGATTAAATGCGGGTAAATATTAAAATATTCTTGAATGAGTACTTCTTCGAGCTGCTTTAACATGGAAAAGACGGTAGCAAGCAATCGTTTGCGGTATCAAGATAGGACAAAAAGCTTTATGATCTATATTTCAGGATTCTTCATTGATTCTTCAAATTTTACCGAATTTGCAGGATTAATGTAGAACGAAAATTTCGACTCGAGTTTTGCTAACCTGTTAGCTTCGTCAACTTCTGATTGTATTTGTAATACGCGAGGATACTTGATATCGTTACCGAGAAAGAGAGAGTCATGGGAGAAGAGAAATAGAGAAAGATATGCACATTGAATTAGACGTCGAATGACGAACTTTCACGCGTCACGAAGGAATTGCGTTAAGCAGGATTCGTCGAGTTAACGAACCATCGAGGCGATATATCGACGTATTCCTAATGACTGACTCGCGCACAATGAATGGATTGCTTACCCGGGAGGTCGTTGACTACTGTGACGTTCACCGCGCGCAGATGTTCCTTCGGCCCGATTCCGGAGAGTAGCAACAGTTGAGGCGAATTTACGGCACCACCGGAGGCGATTACCTCCTTTGCGGCGCGGGCAACTCGAAGTTCACCATCCTGAAGATGCGTTCATTGAAACTCACATCACCAAACTCACCGTCACCACGCGCTCTCGAGAGCGCGAACTTGATTTCGCGTCTAAGTGCCGCTAACCGCCCGTGCAAAAAGCAAAGTTCCGCGAGAGAACGGCGATGTTATGTCGCGTATTGTGCCTCGTGCGATTTTCGACGGGGTCCGCGAATCCCTCGCGAGGCTCTACCGCGCGCGATCGATACTTTTGACGGAGAAACGCCACCGCAAATCCCAGTCGCCCCATCGATACAGTTTCTACTTCCTACTACACTACTTGGGGCTCGCGCCGGATTCGAACATCGACGAGCGCGCATCGGCGTAAAACGACGGAATTACGGCGCATCGGTCGCGCTCGGCTCGCGAATATGCAAAGCTCTCGGAGGGTTAAGAACTGTTTTCACAGTGAAATCACGGCGGAGATTTGACTTTTCGAGATAATGTTTTAACTAAGGCGTGTCTCTCCGCGAGAAAATAACCTCCCTCACATCGCGTAATTTCTGCACGCACGGCTATCAGTGTGCGCGCGCGCGTCGTATCTTAATTGTATAGATAACGCGGTAAAACAGCGCAAGATTCTCGATGGGGTTTCCGCTCGTGCGTGATGCAGGTTTTTCAAGCGTGACGCGTTCAACGTATCAAAATAGAGAACCGGCGGTGAGTTTCTCCGCGACTTTCGACTCGATAAAAACCTCCCGCGAAATCGTGAAATCGTGACAAGCGTGGGTTTCCGTGGACTCTTGTCCCTCGCACCACGCTCGATATGTATTGAGAAAATTAATTCGTAAAGCGACACCGTTGAGAAATATAGCAACTGGGAGGGGCGGCTCGTTGTCGGATGGTGAAGTATAAACGCCTTGATTTCCATGAAAGGATGGCATGGGAAATCTCTACTCCGCTCTCGGCCGCACCGATTTCAAAATATTTGTATGTAAATAGTATGTAAGTGTCTTAAATAACCGGTTTGCGAGAAAAGAGAAAAGAAGATCTGCCTTTTGTAGAATATCACTTGCAAGCGTCGCTCTTACGCTCTCGTTTTCGCAATAGATTCGCCAACATAATATTTTCGCACGCCACGTGAGCAATGCCTGAATTCGCGTTATAATTTCTGCAATTAATTCATTGTACCTCCAGGGAACTGACTCATAATAAGCTTGTGTTATCTTTGAGAAATCCGCGTCTGTAAATAACCGGCATTTATCATTCTTGCAGCAATTAAACTGGATGCACGCGAATCGCGAACAATAATCGTGGAGCGGAGAAGAATGCCGTGCCATCTCTCCCGGTAGGACTCGGGGAATACGCGTGACGCTCGTATACTGACTTGATAATACTGCACTCCCACGGCCCTCTGATTCTCGACGATGATCTTCGTGGCGGTGGCGTTGAGAGCGATTTGTAAATTGCGCCGTTGGCGGTACGGGCGGAGGAAAGCCGCGGCGCTACTCATTCGGACACCGTTCTTGCTCGTGCTCTGGGCGACGGTGAACCCCGTAAATTGGTCGCCATTGAGGTCCTCGCTAATCGGGTATCCTCTCTCGGCCGCAGCCGCGAGTATGTCGTCGGCGAGCGCGGGCTTCCAGGGGAACCGTTCGACGTTTAACAGGCCGCCGGTCGAATGATACTTACGACCCACCCGCTTCGTCTCCGTGTTGTTTTCCGAGCACATAAAGTACTGCAGGACCTGCACGAGAGATCGCCTCGTTATCTCTTCATCTCCTTTCCCGAGGGAAATCGAGGTCTGAAATTATTTCTTATCGATCGCACTAATCTTATTAATCGCGAAATATCCATCGTTATTTTCATCCGAGTCACTGAGAGAACTTTTGTTAATTTAACGAGATACCAGATATCCGTAACAAGTGGTTTGTATCTGCAAATATACAAGATGCGGGGTAATAATATACGACACTCTAGCGGGAGCAAATAATTTGTACTTTTAATTTGCCGCTCGAATAAACACTTCTGTATTGGCATGGTCATAATTTGCTAAAATAACAAATGAATGATCAGCAACAATAACTGTTCGATCTGTTTTCGTAACTGATCTTCAAATAAGAAAAGAGCTTTTGTCCTAACTAAGGGATTTTTCTCAGTCATCTCTTGGTTCCCTTGATAGTCTGAAAACATTCATTTCTTACGCTATTTGCGGATGGTTAACCCTCGGTATATCATGATAATTGCCAAATGGAACGAACATTATTTTATCGAAAAGGGTGAATTTTTCCTATGTTTTTTAGACAGTCTCCAAGAAAGGAATCACAACATATCAATTCTGACAAATAATTAGAATTGTTGTTGACAGTTGTCATGACACTTTCTTTCTTAGATGTCTTCCAAAGAACATGGATCTTTTTTCAATAATATAAAATTCGTTCTATCTTAACTGAAGAAAAAAAGTTCACAAACTAAAATCGGCTCCAATCCCCGTTGAAAATTTCCAGGTGGATTCCGACGGAAACTTTTGCGAATCCATATAGGATATTAAACATTCATACAGGAACCCACATGGTGTATGAAAATTCATATAGGAATCCGCATGAATTGTCACTTAGGATCTGGGTTTTTGGCGCAAATCCCCAGAGGGAACCGTGGATTTCCTGTGGATTCCCTGGTTTTGTCAACGGGGATGAAAAAACCTTACGAACGCGCCGAGAGTTAAATACATATCGAAGACAAATCGCGAGGTAATTTCACGAGGACGAATCTACGGGAGAGATCTCACATCGCGCCAGTTCCATCCGGTGTTGCCCATGGCCGCCCAATTGTCGAAATCTTTGGCGTGACCCCTCATATACATCATTCCGTTGTGGACCGACGTACCGCCTAGGTTTTTGCCGCGCGGCCAGCTGCAGGATCCGCCGGTCGACAGACAAGCGTTCATCTCGTTCGTGGTTTGATACTGCCAGTCAATGTCAGTTCCTATCGATAAAATTGTCAGAACGCTCAACATGCGTAAAGCCCGGCCTCCGATCGCAACAGCTCGCGCAATAATATAGATTTCAGACGAGCGTTGCCGCCGAGTTCCTTTCGCGCCGAGCGACTCTCACCGTGTTCGCGATCGAAACGCTGTGTTAGAGGAAAGAAGAGAAAAGGAAGCGAAGAAAGAGCGAGGGAAAAGGGAAAAACAGAAACGATTACCTCCTCCCGATTCGTTATCTCCGGTTACCGCGGGGATATCTCAGGATCCGCCGTGAGCCACCTTTCATCTTTCGTCTACGGACTCCTTGATTAATTCGCAATTAATTCCTCCCCGGCGAAAAGAGCGAGAGAGCCGGTAACTTTTGAATTATACAAGCGATTGAAGATGTAGGTCGTTCCGGGAATTAAGCTTTAGCAGAGATCACGCGCAAACGAGCCTTTAGAACGGATTTTTATTTCGGACTCTCGGACAATATTGAAAGTCAAGAAATCGCCGCGCCGAAAGAACGTTTGATATTCAGCACGGAGAGGAGGAAGAATTTCCGTCTCGAAATTTCTCTCAAAGACGAAAGGTGGTTTCCCTGCGGACGGGGGG